GTTTTTATTCATTGAATTTTATGTCTGACAGTGTTGACGTACGCTTAAAGAAGACGACAGTATACTTTATGACGCGTGCTGAAGAAAATGATGTACGACGTAGATGTATTTCGATGATGCAAGCCAGAATCAATTTTTCCATATTGTTAATACTTTTCTGACACATGAATTCTCATTCTTGGTATATTTGCTGTAATCCAGGGTGTGTAACATTCGCGTTCCCGAGGTTCATTACCATATTCCGTCGTTTGCTATACGAAGTTCCTGCATACTTTTACGCAGTTATTATACTGTCACTCCTCTCGACCGGTTATCGTGTTTGAATATTTATTTAGCTGATTATTTTTTTTATCGAGTCCATGGAAATTCGATCGCTATCTCTGGTTATCCTGCGAAATTATCAGCAAAGCCAGAGTAAAGGGAAGGTACGCCGCCTGTGTGTTTTGCTGCTCTCCTCTTCGTATTTTTATTATACGCCAGCCTAGATGCTATGCATGAGAAGCATCCGTGAGCTTGTATGAATTCCCCTATCATGCTACGTTACAATTTGCAATAAATCAATAAATCAAAATTGCAGGGTCAATCAATCAAAATTGATTCACAGCGTTTTCATGTCGCTATGATATTAACTTGTGGTACAGCGCAAATTGTTTAAATATATTCCTCATAGGAGTCGCATTTTGTTAAATTCGGAAAAATGCTAAAAAATGCTATTTAATACAAAATTTAGAACTAAAATGTCATAAAACGAAATTACTCATAGATTGAAATTTTATTTTTAATTCCTTGATCAAATTTACCGAAAAAAGAATAACTTTTTATTTTTATGATTTGTCCTATGTTCCGTCTTCCAAATCAAAATTTTAGTATAAGTTAAAATCAAGTGTTTTAATTTCCTAAACGCAAATGTATGTTCTCTTTCCTTTCAGATTCTTTAAAGCGATGGATGATTTTACGTCAACTTGTGGGGAAGGTGAGTCTGCATTATATCGTACTGGGTCTGTATATCTCACTCTCGTAAAATATCATCAATCTTATGTACCATTATTCTAATACCCTACGTTCCAAATATCTTTCTCGAAATCTTTGTTCGAAAATTGCTTTACGTTTTATAACTGAAAACATTTTAACTCTCGCTTAACGTGACGTGTACGATGTGAGCTAAACAAACTCGTGCATTTATGTTTTTATCACGGAAAATCTAAAACGCAATAAAATATTATTTGAAAAGTTGTACTTATCTGTGTATTTAAAAATACAGATTAATTGATTCATATTATGTAATGACTATGCTAATCATGTTTATATTATGGTGCATGTGCATGTGTAGAATATGAAATCATGGGAACGGTGCTTTCGGATAAAACTATGAAATTGATTTTGACATCGCATCGTGTGAACGGGTTGTTACTCTTTAGTTAAACAGCAGATTTTCAAACCTGATGAACGCGGCTGATTTTAAGTAGTCATGCTTAGGATTAGTC